CGGAGCTTGCGCATTCACTGGAGCGGGGGCGGACGCAGGAGCGGCGGGAGCCAGAGAGTTTCCAAGATTCGGTGCGCCACTCAGGGCACTGCGCATCGCCGCAGCTAACATCCCCGGGAAATCCTCGCGCAGCTGCTGCATCTCGCTTGGCCCACCGCGCCCGCGACCGTGACCTCCCCACCAGCCACCGCGGCCTCCGCGGTGCGCCGACCGGTACGACGAGGAGGGGCGTCGCCGAGGAGAACCTCGCCCCCGATGCGCTGCCGCATTGCCCCCCGCGGCACCGTGAATCTGAGACTCCGCGTGCCGCTGCGCGACGGGATGCACCGGCGCAGCCGCAGGGGCCACCAGGCGGGCAGAGTCGGGGCCGGCGCCCACCGCTGTCCCCGGAGCAGGGCCCCCGGCGGCAGCTTGGACAGACAGCGCGGCCACAAGCGACGGCTGCGCGACGGGAACCGGCGCGCCGGACGTGGGATCAACGTGTGGAAGGCTCGGAGGGGGAGCCGACACCGGCGGGACTGGAACAGAGGACGCCGCAACAGCAACAGGAGGAGCCGGGGGGGCAAAGGGAGCAGCAGCAACAGCTACACCAGCAACAAGGGCCGGAGGCGGAGCAATCGCGCTCTCAGCGGTGCGACCTTGATCCACCGCTGACTTCTCCGCTTCAGTAGCCATTGCGGCGAACGCGCCGACAGCAGGTGATCGAGGACGCACGGCTGCGTCAGAACGCGGGGGTAGGTAGTCGCGGAAATCCCCAGCTGACCGCGGCCAGTGCGCGGGCACGAGGGGGTCGAGCCGGAGGTCGCGGACGTGGTAGAGGCACTCGTGAAGGAGGTCCGGAGAACGCGTTCCAGGCAGCGGCGCGAAGGGCTTTAACTGAATTAGCTAGAACTAACGAAGAAGTAGAAGTATCGGGGAGTATTTATGAGGCGGAGGAGGGAGAAGAAGGCGCACCCTCAACTTCGAATGCCTCGGAGGAGGCCCAGTCACAAACTCCAGCTCGGGGGAGAATCAGCTCAACCCATGCCCGAAGCGCGTCATCAAATTTCAGAAACACATTCACCCAGCCGCGACCCTCACCACAGATTCAAACCGCTTCCCGCCCCCCTGCCACCACTGCCAACCATCCCGCCCAACCGAACCTGACTTCGCCACCTGCAAATGCACCGCGAACTGCAGCGAAGGGTAACCAACAGCAACCACAGCCCCCCCCCCAAAAATCGCCCGAAGCCCTCGCCAAGGACGACACACTATTCGCGAACGTCAGTACCTGGAATCTGGATAAGCTACGCGATAGTCGCAACGCTCCGCTGGCACGTCGCCTGCCGGAAAAATTGCGCCTACTTTTCGCTATGGTTATGCTGACACCACTGCTACGACTCGCACACGACCCAGACTCCATCCCGGCCTGGACGATTCTGTTGTTCGCGGCTCGCCTGACGCTGCGTCAGCATTCGCCGAGGCACCCTGACTGGAAGGCGACCAGGGAAAGATTGCGTAAATTCCTGCGAGGGGAGTGGGAGGCACTGTACCAGGAAACGGTTGATTCGTTGGAGTCCCCTCAGCCACCTAGACACCAGCCAGACGACCTGGGGGTAATATCAAGGGCAGAGGGTCTGGCGCGACGAGGCAGCTTACGCAGAGCAGTCATGGCACTGGAAGCCACCCCAGTCAGCAAGCCATCACCGGCGATTCTGGAATCCCTCCGCGCCAAGCATCCAAGTGCCCCGCGCCCTGGCACACCGTGGCCCCAGCCTGAACCGGACTCATACCTGGCAGTTTTGCGGGAAGTTTTTCTGAAGCTCCTCTCGCGGTGTGAGAATGGGGTAGGCGCAGGTCCCTCGGGCACAACGTTCGAGCACCTGCGCGAAGCTGCCCTGATACACGCCACCGTTGGGTATCACTTACATGCGTTGGTCAACACAATCCTGAGAGGGAAGTTGTGTCAGGAAGTAGGGAAGCTCCTCACAGCATCACGTTTGATAGCCCTAGACAAGCCCGATGGGGGGACCAGGCCGATCGCCATAGGAGAGTGCGTCCTCCGATTGGCAGCCAAAGCAGCGCTTACCCAGCTAGCAGAAGCAGCCCGAGAGTTTTTCCTACCTTTACAGTTTGGAGTGGCCATGCCAGGAGGTGCCGAAGCAGTCATTCATATCGTTCGCACTTTCACTGCGGCCAACAAGGACGCCTTGGTCTTACAGGCTGACCTGGCCAATGCGTTCAATAGTGTTGACCGCCACGCCATGGCGACGGCCTTGAAAGACTCACAGTTGGAACCACTACTGCCACTGGTACACTTCTCATACGGCCAGCCTTCAATACTGCACCTAGACGCGGCCTTCGACCATCCGCCCCTGCTTAGCGAAACAGGAGTCCGCCAAGGGGACCCTCTCGGCCCCCTCCTTTTTGCCGCCGCCATGCAACCGGCTCTGAAGGCAGCTGCGGAGGCGCACCCCGAGGTCATCTGCTTGGCATTCTTGGGGGAACCGTCGTCGTGCGCGGCTGCGTTTAATCACTTCACAAGCCGCTTGGCTGAAATAGGGCTCAGCCACAATCCTGCCAAATGCGGGGCTTGGTCAGAAAGGACGCCCACGGATTATCGCCTTCCCGAGGGAATACCACCGAGCAGCGAAGGCTTGAAAGTGCTGGGGAGCTACATCGGCTCCTCCTCGGCAACCTCTGCCCTCGTTCGTTCCAGCTTGGAGGCGATGAGCGCGCCGCTGGGGTTGATAGAGCGCATGGAGCCGCAGCTGGCGGGACTACTGCTGTCCTGCTGCATCTCACGGCGGGTGTCATACTTAGCCCGCACAACACCTCTGCCTTTCCTGCCCAAGGAGGAGTGGTCTGAATGGGGAAGGCGGCTGCTGGAAACGTTCCTTTCAGCATGTGGCATTAACCACCCGCGGGGGGATGAGGAAACTTCTCGCACGTGGGCGCAAGCCTCACTACCCATATCGCTCGGTGGCCTGGGGCTGACGGACCCTTCCGTGGAAGGAAGCTACAGCTTCCTCGCCAGCTACACGCAGGCGCAGCTCTTACTCGACTCCTTGGACAGCGAGTGCTCTGGCCCTTTGGAAGTCACGCGCGAGCTGATGCGCGGCCCCTACACCGAGTCCTCCCCCCTGACCGAGTGGCTGGCGGAATGCGAAGGGGAACTCCCACTTCCAGCCCAAGAAGTTCTTCAGGCTGAGAGATCGGCTCCAACTGCAGGGAAACTGCAGCCCGGGTTGGCCATGGCTATCCAGGGCCAGCGCTATGCCGTGCAGGTGGACGAGGTGCGGGGGATGAGCCCGAACCCCAACAACGGTCACACGCAGCGGATGCTGTCCGTGTCGGGATATGGGGCGGGGGATTGGTTAAACGCAGTGCCTATCCACTCCTCGCTCCGCCTTGAGGCTCCCCACTTTGCCAACGCGCTCCAGTTTAGGCTGGGGCTCCCATTTGCGGCTCCTGGGGTTTGCAACTGCTCGAAAAAGGTGGAGATCCCGGATAAGCGGCTCCCGAACCACCTGCTACGATGCGGAACAGGGGGGGGGCGCACAAACACACACAATGAACTTAGGGACGAGTGCGCACGGATGGCGCAAGACGCAGGCTTCATGGTGCATATAGAGACGGCCGCCTTCAGCCCAGTGGAGGAGAAGAAGGCAGACCTGGCCTTACGCTGCCGCTCTACTGGCGCCGTCTATATCTGCGATGTGATGGTAACGGACCCCATCAGCACCCGCGATGAGAACGCCACCAAGGGGAGGGGGTGGGCGGCACGGGAGGCAGCGGATAAGAAACACGGCCTTTACAAGGACCGCCCCGAATGGGTGAAGTTCTTCCCGCTAGCGGTCGAGACATATGGGTGCCCTTGCCCAGAGTCAGTTGACTTCCTGAAACTACTCGCGGAAACAGCTGCACGGCGGTTTTTCAACGCCGAGCCAACCTCCTACCAAGCTGCCAAGCTCTTACACCAATACCGGCAGCGGTGGTCGGTGGCTCTTCCGCGTGGGCAGTCGATTGGGTACCTGGAAAAGTGCAACATAGCAGCAGCGGTTGAAAACCCGCTACTAGAAGCAGTGGGAGAGGCCCCGTCCCTTGGGGACTGCCTCTCGGTTCTTGATCCTGCACTGGATCTCACTTAGAGGGTGTTGGGCGGATGGGTGGATAGGAACTTTATTCTGTACTAGCCACGTGACCACGTTCACGTATGTCTTGCATGCATGTACACCCTGACTATCAATGAACGGGCCATTAGAGAGAGAGAGAGAGAGAGAGAGAGAGAGAGAGAGAGAGAGAGAGAGAGAGAGAGAGAGAGAGAGTTCAGCGAGGAAGACAATGGTAGCGTAGATTGTAGTTGTACCCTCCCCCTCTCATCCTCGAGAAGAGGGAGGGTACCTCAGTACCTCGCGAGGATGGGGGGGGTGCACCAGTGCTCACCTGTCCTTCTATCCACAACTGGTATTTGCAATTGCAGCTACGAGGGGAATTCCAGAGAGCGCTAGTTTGTGGTGTGACATGCAATGGTGCATCGGCTGTTGGGACTAATAAGATGACACAGCACCATACGATTCAGCATCTCAAAAGGTCGAATGCACAGCAGAGGGTTTCTGTTTGTGCGGTACAGGGTTTTTAGCTTCAGGGGTTCAGGGTTTTGCGTTACAGTTTAATTTGTCTAAAGTCGATTCAAAAGATTGTAACACCCCGTGCATGTTCTTATACCCGCACGTGGGAGTACGGGATTTACTTTTTTATTCTAATCGGATTACTATTCCCCCTCGTCTGGTCTTTTTGGTTGTAGCACCACGTGCCTGTACTCGAATCCGCACATGGGAGTACGGAGTACGGTTACTAGTTTTCGGGAATGGGAGTACGGGGATGACTATTGATTTCTAATCAGATTACTATCACGTGGATCCACCTCAACCGTCTCACCCGCTTTCACCTCCACGTGCTACAGTAACTGCGCGCTACAGTGACTGTGCGCTACAGTATCTTCGCGCTACAGTACCTACCTGGGTAATGTGAACATAGTCAGCAATATCCCGAGGGTCCACCTCCACCGTCTCGCCCGCCTTCACCTCCACGCCTGGTGGGGGCGGGATGGGAAGGGCGAGGGGGGGGGGGGGGGGGAGAAGGAAGGGTGTTGAGTGGAAGGACAAACAAACGGCTGGGAACTCGTTAGTCCACGGCCCACCTCCACCGTCTCTCCCGCCTTCACCTCCACGCCTGGTGGAGTTTCATTGGGGGAGCAGGGGAGAAGGATGGGGACAGGCAGAGGGGGGAAGAAGGGTGTTGGGTGGGGGAACTAAAGGACGGGAACTTATGCCTCGTGCCTCGTGCCTTGTATCCACCTCCACCGCCTCGCCCGCCTTCACCTCCACGCCTGGTGGCATGGCATTCACACAGGGTTAGGGGTTAATGGGTTTGGGAGAGCCGGAGGGAGGGAGAGAGGTGGTGATTCGCGCCTCCACACCTCGTGGCGTTCATATGGGGATGGGGAGTAGGGAATAGGGATTGGGGTGAAAGGGGGAAGGACAGGGGGAGAGAGAGCGAAAGAGGTGGTGATTCGTGCCTCCACTGCACCTCTACCGTCTCGCCCGCTGTCACCTCCAAGCCTGGTGGCGATTCCATAAAAAAGGGGGGGGGGGGGGGGGGGGGGGAGAGGGAGAGAGGGGGGGTCGGGGGTAAGGGTAAGGGGATGAAGGGGGGGGGGACAAGGGTAAGAAGAAGATTTTTGAGGCGCCTCAAAAATGAAGGGGGGGGGGACAAGGGTAAGAAGAAGATTGGCCCGAAGACTGTGAAAAGTAGGGGCAGCATTGGCTCGCGAGGGAAAGGGGATCAAGGAGGGAAAAGGCCTTAGTTTCTGGCTACTCGACGGCATGCCGAGAGTCCATATGATCCGGCTCGTGGCGGCGAGGCATAAGGAGAGAAAAGGCTGTCTGGGTACTCAGTAGCGCGCCGATAGTAAGAATTATTTGCGTCAGTAGCGCGCCGATGGTATGAATGATTCAGATCATGGTGTTCAAACCTGTTTATCGTGAATGCACACGCGCCGACGACTCAGATAGGTTATCCAGTTACATATCGGTTATTTATGTGATTTTATTGTCGTCTCAGAAGTTGAGTTGTGATTCTCACCCCAGAAACGCATTAGGACCGACATTGTGCGTGGTCCCGGTTACGAATCGGCTCGCCGCGTCCCGCAATGTAATCGCGACGCCGCTGTGATCTGAGCACTGTAGCGAGGCCGCTAGCAGCAAGAGCAGGGTTACCCGCAGCGAAACGGCGCTGTGAATCGGGCACCGCTGCGATGGCAGGAAAAGGGATCGCGACAAGATCAGGATCAGGCGCGAGGCTTTCTCGGGATGCTAAACGGGATTGGCGCGAATCTACAAACGCGACGCCGGAAAACCCAGCTGTGCGAGCCGCGGGGTGGAGCGTGGGAGTGTGGAAGCGGTTTCGACAGACGGAAGGCGCAGCGGCAGCAGCAGATGCCGACTGGGATGGGACGGACTAAGTTAAATCTTGGCACGATCGGGAAATTCGAGAACACTCGAGACCCAAAAATCCCTAAGTGGTTTCCCTAAGAGGATCAAAGCTGAGGGTTCTGGGTCTTGGATGACTTGGGGTTTGGTTTGTGGCAGCAAGGGCTTGATCATATGTTTGTAACACACCGTAAGTTGTGAGCGCTGCGAAGGCTTCAATTCAATACGTCTCGCTAGGGTAGAAGGCGAAGAGGCAGATTGGGTGACGAGAGCAACGAGAATATGATCCCTACGAAAAAAAGTAAAGTTACCTGTCTGACCTCGTTCAGCAGGGAACAAGAAGCTCAAACAATTCACACCCAGTATAAGCAGATGCAATACTAAACAAACAAATGTATACTAACAAACGTAACTAATAGTGCATTTGTATATTTCAGTATTAATTACGTAATTGATAATTCTTAAACCAATCGCATACACACAGAATATATTAAAAAATATATATGTGAATTTGTATATTTCGTCGGTTTCATCCATACACGAGGCGCTGCGTTGTTTTTTTTCAAGATTACTGTCATTAGAAAAAATGTCTTATATATACAACTGTATATATATTTTTTGCCTCCATATGTTAATCACGTGCATGTTTTGGTTTCGGGTTTAGGGTAAAAATCTACTCGTACACTCAATATCGAACCATCCGACAAGAAAAGTCTTCCGGACCGCATGTTTCTCCGTCGATACAAGCAACGCCGCCGCCACAAGCAAAACCTGCAGATCAGCATATCAAAGTCCAACCTGCGCAGTCTCCCTGGACCTGACCTGACGAGTAGGTCAGGCTCCCGAGCCTGGAAGGACCATGTTATGTGGGGGGATGCGACTCGATTACCGTGTGATAATCTTTGTACGGAAACGACGGGACGAGCCCCGTTTCCAAATAAGCGGGTCAAAAAAAAAAAGGCAGGAAGACTCTGTTGAATTTATCAAAATAAAAGTGGCTGCTGAAAATATACTGGTATCCGAATACCTATATATATTTTTTTTATGCAGGGTGTTTGCCTAGGTACTCTTGTGAAGCACCATGCAACGCGCACCCGTCTCCCGAACACGCGAAAACGCGTGTGGCGTGTTTGCGAACATGTGTTCCGTTGTTCCTTGCCAACAGACTCAACTGCTTTGGCGAGCCGGAGCGAGGTGTTCCAACACAGAAAAATCAGTACTGGCGAGCGTCGCAGATGTGGTTACTGTCGCGCGTGTTCAACCACTACCGAAGTGCTTTCCATGTAAATTTGAAGCGCAAAATGCATTCATTCCATTCTACAATATTTCTTGCTCGGTTTTAGCGTTTCTGTGCATCGTACCTCTGTCACGATCTGATCACCAACTTGGTAGCCATGGATCGTTTCCTGCGCCTCTCAGTCTCATTCCTTGCGCTCCTCGCCGTCCTTAACGGCGTCAACGGCGAAGTCAGCTACAGCCAGAGTGGGCTCGACTGGGGAGTGAGTGCTATGGTAGCATGCTGTCTTGATTTTGTCCGTTCGAACGTATCATCACGTTTTACCGATGCAATCCCGTAACTACTACTACGCATCTCGAAATTGCTGCTCCGTAGTAGTAAGATTCAGATGTGAAGACGCGATATCATGCTTTTGTTCTCTTTCCGTTACGGGCAGGGAGACTGCCAGACGGGCGAGAAGCAGTCGCCCATCAACATCGTGATGGACGAGGCCAAGGAGGAGAGCGCGCCGGAGAAGTTCGTGCTCGATTACGACTCCGCCGCCACCACCGCCACCGTTGTCAACCATGGATACACAGTTCGTAAGTCTCGGTGAACCAAAACTCCCCTTCCTTCTGAGTTTCCTGGATTGTTTTTAGTATCAGCAACCGTCCACGCACATGTGAATCCGCATGTGTTAGAAACATGAAGGCCTAAACGTGTCGCCCGCATTCATTCCCTCTTTTTCCTTGGTTCTTTGGTATTGGGCAGAGGTCGTTCCAAATCCGGAGAAGACGTACAAGCTCCACATCAGCAAAGGAACGTTTATTCTGAAACAGGTACGCGTGCTTGTTTCAGTTCGAAAGTGGTTCATGGCATATACATTTTGTTTGACACACTCTCCAGCATGCACTGGATGCTTTCAACCGAATTCTTCAGGTGTGCTACTTTAAACAGCAAATATGCTGATTCTTGTTTTCTTCTTTCCAGGTGCACGTGCACTCGTTTTCGGAGCACGCAGTCAACGGAAATTGACGGCTCACTCTTTTCCCCAATCCCCCTCCCTCCCTATCTCGTCCTCCCTCGCGCAGGTGCACGTGCACTCGTTCTCGGAGCATGCCGTCAACGGGCTTTTCGCGGCCATGGAGGCTCATTTCGTGCACCAGCACGAGAACGACAACACGTCCCTCGCGGTGGTGGGAGTCATGATCAGACTGCAGCGCCACGACGAGAAGTCCGACTGGATCGACGTGTGAGTGCTTCACACCAAAGCTATGAACAAGAGTTCCAACATTTCACTTTCGTTGCTGAGACATTTCATGTTTACCAATCTGAAGTTACACAGCAGCGTCTCACCACTTTCTCTTTCATTTCTCTTCCCGTCCCTTCTCCGTTTTCTGGACTCCCTCCGACTCGTGGAGTTCCCTCTGCATTTTCTCTCCTCTCCCTCAATCCTGCAACCCCTGTGCAACTTAATCAATTCTCTCTCTGCTGGCAGAGCAAGGTACCAGCGGGGGTGGACACCAACACCACCATTGACGTTTCCTGAGTCGACTCAAAAATCCCTTCCCGCAACCCCTGTGCTCCCGACCTCATTCTCTTCTCCCTCAGCTGGCAGAGCAAGGTACCAGCTGCGGTGGACACCAACACCACCATCGACGGTCCTCAGAACTTTTGGACGGAGATGATGGACCCATCCATGGGCTTCTGGACACTCCCACAGCCCTCCCCTTTCCTCCCTTCCCTCCCCTCCATCCCCCAAATTCGTGCTTGCTTCTCAGCTGGCAAAGCAAAGTACCATCCGGGGTGGATACCAACACCACCATCGACGTTCCCTGCATCAACTCAAATCCCCACCCCAACCCCTGTGTCCCCCAAACCTTATTCCCTTCTCAGTTGGCAGAGCAAGGTACCAGCCGGGGTGGACACCAACACCACCATCGACGTTCCCCAAAACTTTTGGACGGAGATGATCGACCCGTCCATGGGCTTCTGGCGCTACTCCGGCTCGCTCACCACCCCCGCCTGCAGCGAGATCGTCGAGTGGCATGTGCTGCGCAAGGCCAAGTTCCTCTCCGTGGCTCAGGTATTTATTCAGGTGTTTCTTATGTCGACTCAAGCAAGATAAGGTAGGAGAAACTTTCGGCTGCTTTATCTCACAGGGCTTGTTCATTTAGCTTTGCTTGCTTTGCTTTGCTGAGGCGACCTGTCTTGTTCTGTTCCTTCCTCTCTTTTCTTTTCCTTTGTCGTCAACAGGCCATCACGTTCATGAACCTGATCGCCAAGGAGAATACCGAGCGCACCGACAACCGCCTTCCCGAGCCGCTGAATGGGCGCATGGTTACGTACTTCACGAATGTCTCTGCTTAGGTGTGACATGAAAGAAGATATGGATGCTGTAGGAAATGGCATATAGATGGGTGCATCTGATTTGATATAAGGCTGCTATATGGGTTGTTCTAGATAGACTGTGTTATATGTGTTGATGAATAATTGTTTTCCCTGCCAGGAAACTAGGCTCACTTTGTTTCAGTTTATTATTGAGTATCACTTCACTTTGCCTGCCCCTTCTCCAGCCTGGGCCACAGAGGTTCTATCTGCCCAGTGTTATGAGTTGTGGTTGGCGCATGGAATTAGTAGACAGCTGCTGGGAGCTCGTAGGAAAATTAACCTCAAACCCTATAGCAGAAGTCTTCAATCAATGTAGTCCTATGGAAGTGCAGGTACGTGTAGTGTACCTCTCCATAGTTCTACGCGATACAAGCACATGTGCACTGCTGATGTTCAGGCTGAGACGGGAGACGAGATGGGGCCTCTTGCTCCCCCCCGAAAACTGGATGTTGATTGCATTGCATCCAAGTTCAGCGAGCTGAGTGAACCAGCAAATTGGTGTTTCTGGTCAAACCACGTCAGGCGAGGGTATGTCGCGCAGTTGTGGCTGGGGGGGAGAACAAAATGAATGGGGAAGAAATTGGTGAAAAGCAAATTTTGCGCGATTCGTCGCGAATTTTGTTCCATTGCGCTCCCCACTCTCCGCCAAGCCTCCCCCCCCCCACCATCTCCTCCTCAGTATCGTTCCGCCACCACCCCTTCTCCCCCCATTCCCCCCTAAACCCTGTGCAACAGCACCAGCCCTATCCCCATTTACAGTACTGTGCAGGATGGACGCCATGTTTCCGTGGCTTCGCTAGCGATCATTTGCTCCTCCAGTGCGCATTACCCATTTCAGCAAACCGCCTTCCAGTGAATCCCCGAAGGAACTCCACATTCCCCCTTATCTGAAATTCGGGTGAAATTCATACTTCTCTCCCAACTCCCCTCCAATCCAGCCTTTCCGTAGTGCAAAGGACGAATGCACATAACCGGCATCCCTGCTTAGTATTCGGCGGCGGCGCAGTTCAGCCCCAACGCGGCTCGTCGTTCCACCGCTCTCCACCCATTCCCCCGCTCGTTGGAGAAATGGCAAGGCAATCAGTACAAGATGATGCTCAAAATCCGTAACCAATATTAGTTGCCTTGTCACTTTCCTCTAGCCCAGTTCTATTTATACTCTCCTGATTATTATCAGGTGCACACTTGACACTTGTCTCCTTCATCCACCATGGACGTCGTGCGTCTCTCGCTCGCGCTCCTCGCGCTGCTCGCTGTCGTGGGCGTCGCCAATGCCGGTGGCGTTAGCTACAGCCAGAGCGGCCTCGACTGGGGGGTGAGTTGCTGCGAATCGGACTCGATTATTCTCCTCGCTTAAACGACGCTAGCATCTTTATTCCACAAGAAGCGCGCTAGCGTGCCTCAAGCTGCGCCGTGCCTTCACAATCCGAAATTGCTGAATCCGCCTAATCACTACAAATAGGCTTATCTCCTGTCTTCCACTTGTATCCCTTTCTGTTTCGTTACGAAAGTACTAATTTCATCAATCCGCGGACAGGAAATGAAGCTCTAGCCTTGAACCTCTTTCGATCGCAATTTGTTCATCGTTTGCAGGGAGAGTGCCAGACGGGCGAGAAGCAGTCGCCCATCAACATCGTGATGGACGAGGCCAAGGAGGAGAGCGCGCCGGAGAAGTTCGTGCTCGAGTACGACTCTGCCGCCACCACCGCCACCGTCATCAACAAGGGCTACACCGTTCGTAAGTCCTCGCTTCATAACTCGCCCTTCACCGTCTGCGGTTTTATGTAGATTTCCTGCTATACCAACATTTGTTTGTTTCATGGTTTGTTCCAATTCGAGCTCTTTTGTTTCTCCAATATCCTGTTTTTTTCATCTCTTGGTCCGTATTTTAACAGAGGTGGTTCCCAACGCGGACAAGAGCTACAAGCTGCACATTGGCAGCGGCACCTACAACCTCCTGCAGGTACTACCACATCAATCACGTCATTGTTGGAAGGAAACGGTGGTGGGGCGGTGGTATGCCCCCAACCCACCGAGGGCACTTCGGTGCCTTCGATCCCTTTGACTAGGGATCGGTGGGGTGGCACCGATTGACTTCGGGAGACTCACCCTTCGGTGCCACGTGGCGGCACCACATTCCAACCTTCAAGTGCAAGGCGAATTCGGTGTGTTCGGTGTGAAATTCGGTGGTCGAATTTCACCCCAACCGAAATGTTACACGCGGCGCATTCGCGACGCGAGTGTAGCGATGTGATGTTACATGTGCGGTTCGATGTAATGCATTTGCTATAAATCGACCTGCCTTGTATGCATGCTTTATACTGAAATCCTGAATCTTCTTGTACATGGTCCATTCGAACCAAAATTCCAGAGAGGTCTATCCTTGCTTCTAAGAGCACTAGCAATCACGTGAACGCCAATATCTCGGCGTATACTTGGGCGATTAACGTGTTTGACGGCTTGTTGGAAAGCCAAGACTGTGCTCTATCGTTTAGTGCAACTTAGAGTTCCTGCAAAGTAGAGGAGACGCCTCTACAACAGTGGTATCAGAGCTGGTCGGTAGAGTCTACATGCGCGACTTGTAGCAAGCATGATGACGTCAAGCGAAACCTCCGGCACTTCCTTAGGTGGTGTCGTCTCGAATCCCGGCGAACCCTGGACAAACGCGACGGTGTTCGACACGTCGGCGGTTCCGATTTTCACGGGACAAAACTACTCCGCGTGGAAATTTAAGTTCCAAGTGCTCATGATGGAGCGGGGACTTTGGGGTCTCTTCGACGGAACGGAGAAAAAGCCGGTCAACGAGGACGAGATCGCGGCATGGAAGAAGAAGGACCAAAAGGCGTTCGCAACGTTGATTTCGCGCATCGGCATCAACCTCGTGAGTTCGGTGCGCACGTGCATCAAGCTCGAAGCTTCGATGCGTGAAGCATGGAAGCGGCTCGAGACGATGCACGTGAACAAGACTCTCCACGGCAAGATCCTAGCCCGAAATGCGTTCTACACGGTGAAGTTGCGCGCGGGCGAATCGATGCACGAGTATGCGACTCGTGTGGAGGAACTCGGGGAAACGTTCATGGACCTCGGTGGAACGGTCACGGAGGAGGATTGGATTCTCACCTTGCTTTGCGGCCTTCCGGAAGAGTGGTCGACGATGAATACGACACTCGATAGCGTGCAAAACACTTGGACGAAGGAAATGGTGGTCGGTCGGCTTCTCCATGAAGAATCGCGACGCCGACAATTCGCTAACGAGAGCGTGGAGACCGCCATGTTCTCCGGAGGGAGCTCCGGAATGTCAGATTTATATGACATAGCTACTGTAGGCTATAGTGGGGTAGCACATATGGGGTACAGTTTTCTAGGGTTTGCTTCTTGTACCCAACTTTCACTTAGTCATTTCATTCCTCGTTTCTTCTCATGGTATCGAGCAGGTTCCCTAATGGGAACGATTCCTAGGGCCCACCACCACGAATTTTTTTTTCCTGCCCGGAGCGCGTTTTGCGCCGGCCCGAGTCGCGCCGCCCTTTCGGCCCGTCGCGCCCGTCGCGCCCGTCGCGCCCATCGCCACCTACCTCCGCGGCCCCGCCACCTACCTCCGCGGCCCCGCCACCTACCTGTGCGGCCCCGCCACCTACCTGTGTGGCCCCGCCACCTACCTTCGCGGCCCCGCCACCTCACTGTGCGGCCCCGCCACCTACCTCCGCGGCCCCGCCACCTACCTCCGCGGCCCCGCCACCTACCTGTGCGGCCCCGCCACCTACCTTCGCGGCCCCGCCACCTCACTGTGCGGCCCCGCCACCTACCTCCGCGGCCCCGCCACCTACCTGTGCGGCCCCGCCACCTACCTTCGCGGCCCCGCCACCTCACTGTGCGGCCCCGCCACCTACCTCCGCGGCCCCGCCACCTACCTGTGCGGCCCCGCCACCTACCTTCGCGGCCCCGCCACCTACCTTCGCGGCCCCGCCACCTACCTCCGCGGCCCCGCCACTTACCTTTGCGGCCCCGCCGCCTCCTCCCAGCGGCCCCGGAAGCCGCCCTCTCAGCGGCCCCGCCGAGCCGCCCAGCAGCCAAGCCGCCCAGCCGCCGAGCCGCCCAGCAGCCGAGCCGCCCAGCAGCCGAGCCGCCCAGCAGCCGAGCCGCCGAGCCGCCCAGCCGCCGAGCCGCCCTGTCCGCAGCCGAGCCGCCCAGCAGCCGAGCCGCCCCGCCGCCGAGCCGCCCTGCAGCCGAGCCGCCCGAACCGCCCTGTCCGGTAAGAGCAGCGCCTCTCTCACAGCACTGCCCTCGCCCTACTGTTTGCACTGCTAGTCTACTGCTGTCATGGCTACCCCTAGTGTCCTCGCTTTTGACGCTGAGGGTCGGGCCATTGACTTTGACGTCTGGATAGATGACCTGCAGCTTTTCTTACAGTGCGACAGAGCAGACGGCCTCTCCCTCTTTGACCTCACTTCTGGTGCCTCTCCTGCCCCCGCTGCTGATGCTGACGCCACCGTTCGCTCACAGTGGGCCACGCGCGATGCTGCTGCACGTCTTGCTGTGCGTCGCCACCTCCCTACCTCTGAGCGTGCGCACTTTAGCCAGTACAAGAGTGCTCAGACCTTGTACGACGCTGTAGTTGCACGATACTCCTCCCCTGCCACTGCTGCACTGAGCCGCCTCATGCTACCGTACCTCTTCCCTGACCTTGCTGCCTTTCCCACAGTCGCTGACCTCATTACGCACCTCCGCACTAGTGACACTCGCTACCGCGCTGCGCTTCCTGCTGAGTTCTGCGCCAAGAACCCCCCCCCCATGTACATCACCCTCTACTACATAGTCACCCGTCTCCCTGACTCCCTTCGCGTAGTCAGGGACCACTTCCTCTCGGTTTGTCCCACCACTCTCACCGTTGACCTCCTCGAGAAGGTCCTCCTAGCAGCAGAAAAGAGCATCGTCGCTGTAGGAGCCTCTCGTGGTGACCCTCGCACCCCCATCTTTGA